TATCTATCTACATATAGTTCTATCTGTCTTTTATCTATCTATCTATCTACATATAGTTCTATCTGTCTTTTATCTATCTATCTGTCTGTCTCTCTGTATACCTGTCTATCTATCTCCACACCTAAGCTTGTTCATTCCCTTCTATTTATCTGTCAATGTAAAGTTGTTCAATCCTTTCTATCTATCAAAGGCTGTTCATATCTATATAGCTCGCTAGCTAGCTATCGGATAGTGTTCACCACTCTTTCTGCCTGTTCATGCCTGTTGGTTTCAACCTAATAGAATGATTGCAAAAACAACTCCATGCCCATATTTATAAGCAAAACACAGATGCATACTGGGATTTTTTTCAAAATAAGATAGGCCACTTTTGGTCTCCTCTGACTTAGCCAGGTTTGGTGAAATTTCAGTATCCCCTTTTTGTCTTAAACCATTTTAATATTTTAGAACCTTTTTGCCTCATTTACTGTTGCCTTGCCTTACATTTTATCATTTGCTCAATATAATTTCTTGCTCTGTTCTGTTTTTTCACTTGTTTTTATAAGCAAAACACAGATGCATCTGATTTCTTCCTAAAATAAGATAGGCCACTTCTTGGTCTGACTTAGTTCTGTTCTTTCTGTCTTTTTCCATACATGCTGTTTGATTGTCAGTATCCCCCTTTACAACTTGTTGGGTTTTTTTTATTTTGTGAACCTTTTGCCTTATTTACTGTTGCCTTGCCTTACATTTTATCATTTGCTCAATATAATTTCTGTTGCTCTGTTCTATTTTCTTTCACTTTTTTTATAAGCAAAACACAGATGCATCTCTGGGATTTCTTCCTAGCCAATAAGATAGGCAACTTCTTGGTCTCCTCTGACTTAGTTCTGTTCTTTCTTGTCTTGAAGCCAGAACACGGTGATGGATTTCAGTATCCCCCTTTTTTGTTTTTTTTTTTTTTATTTTTTTTTGCCTTATTTACTGTTGCCTTGCCTTACATTTTATCATTTGCTCAATATAATTTCTTGCTCTGTTCTATTTTCTTTCACTTGTTTTTATAAGCAAAACACAGATGCATGCTGGGATTTCTTCCTAGCCAATAAGATAGGCCACTTCTTGGTCTCCTCTGACTTAGTTCTGTTCTTTCTTGTCTTGAAGCCAGAACACGGTGATCGCTTGTCAGCATCCCCTTTTGTGTGTGTTAACACCATTTTTTATTTTGTGAACCTTTTGCCTTATTTACTGTTGCCTTGCCTTACATTTTATCATTTGCTCAATATAATTTCTTGCTCTGTTCTCTTTTTCTTTCACTTGTTTTTATAAGCAAAACACAGATGCATGCTGGGATTTCTTCCTAGCCAATAAGATAGGCCACTTCTTGGTCTCCTCTGACTTAGTTCTGTTCTTTCTTGTCTTGAAGCCAGAACACGGTGATCGATTGTCAGTATCCCCCTTTTGTGTGTGTTAACACCATTTTTTTATTTTGTGAACCTTTTGCCTTATTTACTGTTGCCTTGCCTTACATTTTATCATTTGCTCAATATAATTTCTTGCTCTGTTCTTCTATTTTCTTTCACTTGTTTTTATAAGCAAAACACAGATGCATGCTGGGATTTCTTCCTAGCCAATAAGATAGGCCACTTCTTGGTCTCCTCTGACTTAGTTCTGTTCTTTCTTGTCTTGAAGCCAGAACACGGTGATCGATTGTCAGTATCCCCCTTTTGTGTGTGTTAACACCATTTTTTTTATTTTGTGAACCTTTTTTCCTTATTTACTGTTGCCTTGCCTTACATTTTATCATTTGCTCAAAAATTTCTTGCTCTGATATTTTCTTTCACTTGTTTTTTAGAGCAAAACACAGATGCATGCTGGATTTCTTGCATTTAAGATAGGCCAGGTCTCCTCTGACTTAGTTAAACTTGTCTTGAAGCCAGAACACGGTGATCATTGTCAGTATCCCCCTTTTGTCCTTGGCTGAGAACCAGCCTTATTTACTGTTGCCTTGCACATTTTATCATTGTTCCAATATAATTTCTTGCTCTGTTCTTCTATTTTCTTTCACTTGTTTTTATAACAAAACACAGATGTTGCTGGGATTTCTTCCTAGCTATTAAGATAGGCCACTTCTTGGTCAAACATTGACTTAGTTCTGTTCTTTCTTGTCTTGAAGCCAGAAAAAGGTGAAAATTGTCAGTATCCCCCCTTTTGTGTGTTTAACACCATTTTTTTTTATTTTGTGAACCTTTTGCCTTGATTTATTTTTTATATTACATTTTATCCCAAATGAATAACTTCCATTTTTTTTCATGTTTTTGTCAAAACACAGAATGTTGGCATTTCTTCCTAGCTAATAAGATAGGCCACTTTCTCCTCTGACTTAGTTTGTTCTTCTTGTCTTGAGAAAGAAAAGTGGATTGTCCCATATCCCTTACCATTGTTAACAATTTTTTTTTTGTTGAACCTTTTGCCTTGTTACTGTTGCCTTGCCTTACATTTGTTCATTTGCTCAATATAATTTCTTGCTCTAAAAAACATTTTCTTTCACCCAAATATAAACACAGATGCATGCTGGGATTTCTTCCTAGCTAATAAGATAGGCCACTTCTTGGTCTCCTCTGACTTAGTTCTGTTCTTTGTTGTCTTGAAGCCAGAACACGGTGATCATTGTCAGTATCCCCCTTTTTGTGTGTTACATTTTTTTTTATTTTGTGAACCTTTTGCCTTATTTACTGTTGCCTTGCCTTACATTTTATCATTTGCTCAATATAATTTTTTGCTCTGTTCTTCTATTTTCTTTTCTTATTTTTATAAACAAAACACAGATGCTTGTTGGGATTTCTTGTAAGATTTGCCACTTCTTGGTCTCCTCTGACTTATTTCTGTTCCAATTGTCAAAAACTATGTCAGTATCCCCTTTTGTGTGTGTTAACACCATTTTTATTTTATGAACCTTTTGCCTTATTTATCTTATCTATTTATCATTTCTCAATATAATCTGTTCTTCTATTTCATGTTTTCTATCAAAACACAGATGCATGTCTGTCTTTCTTCTATCTAATCTATAGAGCCACTTATAGTTTGTCTGTTCTGTTTTTCTTGTCTTGAATCAGAACACGGTGACATTGTCAGTATCCCCCTTTCTGTGTTTTATCATTTTTTTATTTATGAACATTTTGCCTATTTACTGTTCTTTTATCTATTTATCATTTGCTCAATATATTTCTTGTCTGTTCTTTTTTTCTTTCACTTGTTTTTATAAGCAAAACACAGATTATAGTTCTTGTCTAATCTTTTATCTATCTATCTATCTACTTATAGTTCTTTCTTGTCTTTTAGCCATCTCATGTCAGTATCATATAGTTCTGTCTTTCTTTTATCTATCTATCTATATTTACTATAGCCTTCTGTTTTCAATATAATTTCTACTCTATTCTTCTGTCTGTCTTTACTTTATAAGCAAAACACATGCATACATATATTTCTTCTGTAATTTATCTATCTATCTATCTACATATAGTTCTGTCTTTCTTTATTATCTATCTATCTACATATAGTTCTTCTGTCTTTTATTATCTATTTTTTTATATAGTTATTGTCTGTCTTTTATACATTATATCATTATCTACATATAGTTCTGTCTGTTCTTTTTTTCTTTCATTTATCTACAAAACATAGTTCTGTCTGTTTTTATCTATCTAATAAGATACATATAGTTCTGTCTGTCTTTTATCTATCTATCTTGTCTACAGAACATAGTTCTGTCTCCCCTTTTGTGTGTTAACACCATTTTTTTATCTGAATATAGTTCTTATTTCTGTTGCCTTTTACATTTTATCATTTATCTACATATAGTTCTTGTCTGTCTTTTATTTTCTTTCTTTCTATCTAAATATAGTGCATCTGTCTTCCTAGCTAATTTATCTATCTATCTATCTACATAGTTCTAGTTCTGTCTGTCTTTTATCGGTATCTATCTATCCATATAGTTCTGTCTGTCTTTTATCTATCTATCTATTTACATATATTTCTGTCTGTCTTTTATCTATCTATCTATCTACATATAAGTTCTGTCTGTTCTTTTATCTATCTATCTATAAAGCAAAACACAGATATATTTCTTCTGTCTTTTATCTATCTATCTATCTACATATAGTTCTGTCTTTCTTTTTATCTATCTATCTATCTACATATAGTTTTGTGTGTCTAACACCCATTTTTTATTTTGTGAATCTTTTGTCTTTTCTGTTACCTGTTTTACATTTTATCATTTGCTCAATATAATTTCTTGTTCTGTTCTTCTATTTTATTTACTTGTTTTTATAAGCAAAACACAGATGCATGCTGGGATTTTTCCTATCCAATAAGATAGGCCCTGTTCGGTTATGACTTAGTTCTGTTCTTTCTTGTCTTGAAGCCAGAACACGGTGATAGCCGGATGTGTGTTAACACCACTTTTTGAACCTTTTGCCTTATTTCTGTTGCCTTGTTGGTTTCAACCTCAATATAATTTCTTGCTCTGTTCTTCCATTTTCTTTCACTTGTTTTTATAAGCAAAACACAGATGCATACTGGGATTTCTTCCTAGCCAATAAGATAGGCGACTTCTTGGTCTCCTCTGACTTAGTTCTGTTCTTTCTTGTCTTGAAGCCAGAACACGGTGATCGCTTGTCAGCATCCCCTTTTGTGTGTGTTAACACCATTTTTTTATTTTGTGAACCTTTTGCCTTATTTACTGTTGCCTTGCCTTACATTTTATCATTTGCTCAATATAATTTCTTGCTCTGTTCTTCTATTTTCTTTCACTTGTTTTTATAAGCAAAACACAGATGCATGCTGGGATTTCTTCCTAGCTAATAAGATAGGCCACTTCTTGGTCTCCTCTGACTTAGTTCTGTTCTTTCTTGTCTTGAAGCCAGAACACGGTGATCGATTGTCAGTATCCCCCTTTTGTGTGTGTTAACACCATTTTTTTATTTTGTGAACCTTTTGCCTTATTTACTGTTGCCTTGCCTTACATTTTATCATTTGCTCAATATAATTTCTTGCTCTGTTCTTCTATTTTCTTTCACTTGTTTTTGTTTATTGCAAACTTTGACAATTTTGTTTGTTGGGCATTTTGGCCAATGATCTACCAGGGTGCCCATGTCGCAACCAGATGTGACACAAGGTCAAGGTTTAAAGTTGGTTTAACAGCAATACCACACAAATATTCCCAAGTTGTTTCTTCGTATCTATGTAATATAAGGTGGTTTGTTCCTACCTACCTAATGTAAGGTGGTTCATATCTATATATCTAGCTAGCTAGGTATCAAATAGTGTTCACCTGTCTGTCTGACTGTCTCTCTCCATTTGTTTCAATCTAGTAGGGAATGATTGCAAAAACATCCCCCTCCCCAAATTCAGAGATAAAACATACAGAAGCATGCTGAGATTTATTCCTAGCCAATAAGATAGGCCACTTCTTGGTCTTATCTAACTTAGTTTTGTTCTTTCTTGTCTTGAAACCAGAATGCTGTGATTGCTTGTCAGTATCCCTTTTGTGTGTGTGTTAGCACCATTTTTATTTTGTGAACCTTTTGCCTTATTTACTGTTGCTTTGCCTTACATTTATCATTTGCTCAATATTATTTCTTGCTCTGTTTTTCTGTTTACTTTCACTTGTTTTTGTTTATTGTAAATTTTGTTTGTTGGGCATTTTGGCCAATATCTACCAGGGTGCCCATGTCACAACCAGATGTGACACAAGGTCAAGGTTTAAAGTGAGTTTAACGGCAATACCGCACATTAGAACTTACCCATTTGATGATGCACCAGGCAATAAACCCAGCCCTATTCGAAGGAGAGGTACTGCCTGGAGGGAAGTCCCCCTGGTGCTTGAGTTAAAATCAAAAGATAAATCCCAGCTAAAGGCAAATGGTTTTATAGAATATCCCCCAGTGGAAAAACCTTAAGTTTATATAGAACTCAATGGGCAGAACCCATTTTAACTGCAAGTGGAACAGGTCAACTTATTAAAGCATAAGTTTACAATAGCTGAAGGCAATCAGTTCAATACTTGTTCTTGGTAGTAAATATACATTTGAGCTATTTAACAACCTAACACCAGTCTACACTGCTATTTAGTCCATAGATGGAGGAGAGAAATTGATTCCTTCCTTCTTTTCCTAAGTATATTAGTTCAAAAGTGGGCACCACTGACTTGGCCAAAATTTGAACCGTTTTCACTGATTCCATTTACAATGCTGATAGCTGTTACATGACCAGCATATCCAAAATATTACTGTTGAGAAAATATGTACAATACTGAAGAGAATTCTTGAATATTGAAATTTGTTGTTGCATGATCTTTCTGTGAAAGAGACCAGATATTATTGGTGTGCAAAAATTACAAAATAAAAAAAAAAAAAAAAAAAATGTAGGAAGAATTTTTATTTTGGTGCTGTGTCTTCTTTCCAAGGTTATAGTGCCAGGTTGAATCATGGGAAGGATGTGCTGATTTTTTTTCTTTTTTTGCCCATTCTCTAAACAGCCTTCTTTGTTGCTGAAGAGATGTCAGCTTTGAGGTTTCATGTTTTATTTCAATTTCATATTTATTTTCTCTCTGCTTCTAATGTTAAAGTACATGGCTGACAGAATTTTATGCATGGAGTGAACAAGTAGGGACATTGGAGAATGTGTGTGTTCTTGCCAGTTCAAGGAATAAGCATATATATATATATTCTTGTGCAAGTGTTCCTGGAGATGTACATTATTATTAGAACTAATATTTTATCTATGATACTGCTTCATTTTTTTTTCTTTTTTTATTCTTATTTTAGATATTGGTATTTTAAAATGGCTGAAGAGATTTTTGATAATATTTTGGTAAGAAACTTGAAAATCTCAAGAGCTAAAAATTCAATTTTTTTTTTTTTTTTTTTTTTTTTTTTATTCAGTTTGAGGGCTTCAAGCCAAGCTGTCAAATTTTTCAATTGAGTTTGATTTTCATAATGATGAGATTTGACAATATGCAAAGTTTATATGTGTGCACATACATAGTCTTTATGTTGCATGAAATTTGAGTAGGATTTGATAAATGTGTTAAAACTTTCATTCTTAATAATTGCATCTCATGTCTTAGAAAATACTAACTGCATATATAAATATGCATTAGAAGTCTGCTTTGCGTGGGTTGCTTTGTAATGGTGGGCACTGGGCTACAGTATATCTTGGTTGGGTGTTTGGCTACCATGTTTCTTGGTTGGGGCAGTTGTTGTGTTAGTGTTGTTTGGTCGAAGGTCAGGCACTGGGTTATAGCACTGTAACCGGGTATTGTCCTCAAGGATATGTGGCCCAGTGGATAAAGGTGTTGGTTAGATCCAGTGACTAGAGTTGTAAGTTCAATACCGGGCTACAGCAGTGGTGAACCAAAAACTTGGAGAGTTGAGTTAAAGAGAAATAACTGAGACACCCGGAAGAGGCATGGCATGCGGAACTAGAACAGTTTGCCCCGCTGGATGAAATAAAGAATTCAGTTCAAAATTCCAATCACATGAAGAAGGCTGGAGCATACAACAACCGAAATGTTGCAAATATGGCAATGAAGATGAGGATAAGTCTGGATAATGTAAATAAGGATGTGTCTTTTCACTAGATTTATTCAGCCTCTACAATATAGTGGCAATCTTATTTTTAATTTGGTGAAATATGACCTGAACACCAACCATGATCTGACTGACCTTGAACAAACTGAATGGAGGAAAATCTTGAAATGGTTCATGTTACAATTAGTTTAAGATTGTTATTGGACCATTTATGAAGAATCAATGCTTGTCTTGGAGTTCATGCAAATGTGAACCAGAGATTTGGAAATGAAACTCATTTGTGGAAAAGTTTTTGATTTGTTTACTCAGAGAAGGTCAATTGTTTGAAAGTGTGCCAGAATTTGAAGAAATAAATTTGAAATGATGCACAGTTTCTTTCCAAAGTTGTGACTGGGGATGTGTCACATAATCCCTGTTATATTTTTGATACACCCACGTATAAGGACAACATGGCTCAGTGGATAAGAATGTTGGTTGAAGTAATCTAAAAGTGACTTACTCCAAAGCATTGTGAGTTCAATTCCTGGCCACAGCAGACATGAACAAAAAAAATTGTAGAGTAACTGAAAACTAAGATATCCAAAAAGGCATGGTTCATGGGTTCAGTTTGAAATTCCAACGTATATCATCTGAAGAAAGCCAGAGTGTACAACAGCCGAAATGTTGTGAATATAGCAATAAAGATGAAGATTACAGTTCGAACAATGTAAATAGTGTAAATACCCTCGTACAACTTAAAACTTGAGGGCAATAGTTTTTATTTACGTTAAGTTATAAAAAAATTACTGGATTATTTTTGTATAATTTGATTCTGATCATATTGTAGTATCTGTGTT